AGTTCCAAATGCTATCATTCCGACCTATCTTTCCGGACGATCATCCGATCCCAACCCGGTACACATTTTCTGGGTGCTAAATTGAGTAGGTATGAGGTAATTGTTTTGTAATATATTAGTTAGTAAGCAATTTTGTTCAGAAATACTTTTTTTTTGTGGTTTAGATATATACAAGAAAAAAAATTTTTTTTCGACTTTAGCAATGAACTTATCCAATGTTCACGCTCCTTTGTATCGCACGCACCTCATTGTTTTGTCAGTTAGGCTTTTCCAATCTCAAGTTGGAATGTTCAAACTCACCAGATCTCGTCAACTAGCAATGATCCGACCCTATAGTAGTTCTCAAGAAAATGGAAGGTATGAAACACTATTCCAGTCGATTGTAACAAAACTACCTCAATATTTATTTGCTCTTTCCAGACAAATGGAAAAAGGACTAAAAAAGTACTGGAATTCATTCAAGATCGTGGTGACTGACTCGTCCAATAAAGTGCGTTGAGATTTTTTTTTTTTACTAGTTTTTCCAATATCTTACCCGTTTATTTTAGCCAACCAGGAGGAAAATTTTATCTACCATGGGCATTGGCCTTATTATTTCTTACTTGTACTTTTCCTACGAAAGTCCCAGAGCCCAGGTCAAAAAAATGATGAATGTTTTCAAGATGGGAAAAATCTATAAGCAGGGCAATCTACCTGTTTCAGAAAAACTGGTCAAACGCGAGAATCTTGAAAACGCTCTGAAGAAAATTTTGCAGCTCCCTTTAAATAAATACTTTCTGATTTTAGGCGAACATGGAACGGGAAAAACAACCTTGGTTCAAAATACCATCTTGAATCTCCAAGAGCCAAAGGTAAAATATTTAATGATCTCTTTCCTTTTCGATTTATTCACATTCGATTTCATCTTGATAGGGTGTTGTTTATTTTGAGTGTCCCTCAAATGTGAAAGAATTTGCGACAAATTTGTCAAAACATCTTGATTGTGAATTATATCCATTTAAACTTCGAGATGTTATCGTACAGTGGATAACCAATTCAATAAGAAAAGGTAGCATATAGTTCTTTTGTGCTTCATACCATTTTTTTTCACATTTATTCTCACAAAAGTTCTACTTGGCTTGTAGAACAAGCCGATCATTCAGAATACCCTAATTGGAACCTTTTGATAATGCAACTCCTCGACACAGCGCATTACTATATGAAAGAATACAAACGCCCGATAGTCTTGATCCTTGATCAAGTAGACCGCATTGCTAAAAAGGACCAAGAGTTTCTTGGGATGCTTCAAGATTTTGCGAAAGACTGTGCGGATAGGGGCTTCCTTGTCGTTATATTTATCGCAAGTGAAGGCTCGGTTCCGCAAATTATGAAATGTGGGAATGTTATAATTTTAATATTTTGCCACATATGGAGTCCTTACTAAATCTATTATTTACAGCTCGTTCTGCCTGGTCACGGGCAGTAATTCCTTTTGAAGTTGGTGATATCTCAGATGAAGAAGCTGTGAAATTTCTGCAGAATTCTGGCATTGATCAAAAAAACGCCGAAGTTTCAGTAAAATACCTAACGGGTGGACGGTTTACATTATTGAAGGAACTCCAAGCACTAAATCAAGTCAATTCTAAAAATTTCGTTAAAGGTATATAATTCGTTGCAACTTTAGCTTCTTTACGTAAATAACTCGTCTTCGTTTGATATCTCTACTTTATCAGAATTCAAGAAGCGGCTGTTCACACAAATTGAGATGAAATTGACCATGATGGAAATTCCTGAAAACCATGAATTTTTCATAAAGCTTATCGAAGTAGGTCGTATTGACATCAAGCAAGCTAAGACCATTATACCACTCAACACGATTCGTAAACTTGTTGAGGCTAATATTCTCAAAGAAGATCAAGACTTCACAGTGTCCTTTCATTCACGTTATGTTGACACTTATTTTAAAGAGGAAATTCTTTCCAATGTTGTAATTTGATTCATAAATATACTAATGTTGATAAGATGAGCAAATCCTAGTTCGTTCATTTTATGAAGTTATATTCGTAAAAGATATGTAAATCATGGTCAAATGACACGTGCAATGAGGAACGAAAAATATTTACTGTGTTCTCATGATGTGTAATAATAAATTACAAAATTAACATTACATATTCTACCGTAATTATCAAATGAAAAGAAACAGAATATGGATTAGTTTAAAAAGTATGATGGTGTACGTGATAGTGTATATCCGTCTTTTGCTTCTTCTTTATTTTTATATATCGTATTCCATCTAACCAGGATGCAAAAAATCTATCACCGATCTTTTGAATATTATCTAATTTATTAAAAGGAATCCATTTGATTACATTTTTATACAATTTGACTTTAAATTGTGCAATTATCAATATCCTTATTTTCACTTGTCCATTCTTGTATTATTTTCTGAAGGTCACATGTTTGACACCAAGCGAAAGATGCGTAAGCTGGAAGTGAATATTTGTCACTCGATCACCCGGTTCACTAACCAAGATATTGCCATATCTAGGGAACGTCTAAAGCGGAGATAAATTATATATAGTATTTATTGAATTAACTTTAGGGTTAGGGTCATCTTAGGTTAGGGGT